GCGATCGCTAAAATTTAGGCCTATAGTTTAATAGTTCTGTAATATATTAGAGTTACTTGAAAATTTTAAGGTAGTATGTAATCATGTCTGGAAAATGTGTATAACTATAAAGTGTGCCTGTTGATGCGCAATTGATCGCGTTTGATAAGTATGTGATCTGTTTAAACGTAAATCACAAAGCAGAGATTCAAGAATGTTTGGACGCTAGATCAATGTACATCTGTATCAGTGTCGAAAAAGATCAAGGAATATCGAGCAGGAAGAACAGCATTTATTTTATCGTAAAAATTAACATTTACTTTTTATCGTAAATATTAAGTGAAGCGTACTCCGACTGCGTCACGTGAATAATTAAGTCCTCCGCTGATCTTAGACTGAAGTATAGCTCTATTCATCCTCAACGTCGAGAAACACTGACATAGGACTCTACATCTCGATCTGTAATTTATTTGTATTTATTCTGTGTACATGAAACAGACGAATTTAGCGCAAACGCAATTTTGAGACGCTATTGATTAGTTGATATTTAATAGCATACGTTGCACTTTAGCAAATATATATGAGCATTAAAAGGCGACTCAATTCCTTTTGCAATCGATATCACGTCCTTCGTATTTCGAACTCATTACATCAATATCTCACGTAGAATTTGAAAACCGTATTGATTTTATATTAAGGAATATGTTGAGCCACGTTTTGCAATTCAATATTTTTGTTATATATATGATTCTTTTGTTACGGATAATTTTTTTCGGTATACATCTAATAAAAAAATCTTGCAGTAAAATAAAACCCCCATCAAGGTCCTTATTATGATAGTAATGACTTTAATTAATATCCCACACGTTGTTTTTATTCAGTCTTCTTTAATCTAATCTTGTTCGCGCAATTATGTTCACAGTTCCTATCATTACTACATTTATACGCGCAACAGACAAAACTCTGATACATTGTGTATAATATTGCATATAGCGTTATATATCAATATATGCTAATATATCATTTCAAATCATATTTATGTTTTATCACTATTTAGTCAATTTACTACTTTTCACTTTGCGAAATAAGTTGGTTGACTGTACAACTGCTCAATATTACTTTGCTCAACTTCCGTGACAGTAAGATAATACTGTAAAACTAACATTATTATATTATGTAAAATATAGATCAAAGTTTTTTTATTTCAACTGAATTCTCATGAAACATTTTGTTCTATTTTATAGTCTGATCTTTTTCATTTATTTTATAGTAGATACGATCTTACTTTTTATACATATAATAGACTTTCAACAAAGTCACGTTAGTTTAAAAAAAAAAATCTAAAAAAAGAGATACATTTAAAGCTGATAACAAACTAAAACTGAGAATCGTATTACAAAGTTATCCAGAATATAATTGTACTTTTTTATGTTCTCTTTATATATTTAGATTTTTCAAAGAAAATGATTCAGGAATTATTTTAGTTTTTTATTGGAATTACGCGTATTTTAACAACGCATGGTGTTCAATCGTTCCTATTCTACGAACATTGACACTTTTTATTAAATCATTTTATATGACAACTGGTACATGTTTATATATTGTTAATTATATGTTTTTTGTGTCTATCATAAAATTATTACTTATAGAACACGTTTATTTAAGTAAATGTACGTATGCTTTATTGTATTTACACATAATTACGATAGTATACAAACAAAAAGATTTATTTTTGACAATTATACACAGAATATTTTGTTTATTTAAACGAAAATATTATACTTTATCAAAATTGTTAAAGACGAACCATGGTCATACACTAATGCTCAAACTGCTAATTTGCAAATGTAATAGAAGCAAAATTGTCTGGACAATTTGCGATCAGTTATTTATGATACAGATGTGCAGAGATTATAAATTATGAAGCCTTGTTTTTTTTTATTTCCGCTTTTCGGCGATGTTTCGTGCACCGGTTCGGCCTGTAAATGTTTGTAAATAGTATTTCGATTGATTTTTGTCTAAAAATCTACGCAAGTATGTATTGGACAAACTGAGTGTTGTATAATGTTGGGCTATAAAGTGTGGATGCGTTTGATGAACGATGAACGGAAGTGTGTTTATAGTATGTCAAATAAAATTAATGCACACATATTATTTGACAAGACGCGTATGCGTTTATATGCAAAGCTTCTTAAGAACAAAGTGCGAATGTAAAAAGAAAAAAAAACGAAATACTCGTTGTTTCCCCCACAAGTTTAATGCCGAAGAATATTTTATCGTTAACATCGATCTCTAGGGAGCTGATGTATGCTTGAGTCCTTTGTTAATGATCATAGTCACATTAGGTGGATTTATCCACTTCCGATGCAATGTTACGCGTTAATAAATAATTCGTTCTCATAAAAGGACGAGAAGGGATATTGAATCAAAGATTAGCCTAACGTCTTCTAATATTGTGCATAATGCTGCGATACATGCACCGTTCACAATCAAGTGTTGTATAGGGTGGTTCTGAAATACAGATCGATTAATATATCTATGAATAATATTATTTAATGTAAAGCGATATAGATCAATTTTAACAGAGTTTTCAAAACGTGCGGATTTACACGACTTTGAGAATGCGTCAACATTTCATACACTACATAAGGAAACACAATTAATAAATACCACATTACGGGGGCAAACAATTTGCTTAGAGACTTTTTTTGGATGCTGTGCACGCGCGTGCGCGAATGTAGTGTATATTTTCTTTTTGAGTTTAAAGCAAACGCCACTGCCATAATGAAAGACAAACCTACGAAAGGAAAAATAAAACAGATGCAGTATGAATGAAACATAAGCCCGTAATATCAGTATATCTCGGAATTGAAAAATCCTCGTCTCACAAGATACCCGTCATCTTTAAGTTTTCGTTATTCGCCTCGACGTATCACGCGTAATCGCTTGTATATTTGTAATTTTGCGTGTAACGTTATCGAGCGTCATACAGAAATTCAATGATTCTTCGCTGTACGGTATAGCGTAGCAGATAATTGGGTGTTTTAGCGAGAGCACTAACGAAGTAGTAAGGCGTTATTTCTTTCTAGAGATTAAGGATAATTTTTGTTGCTTGCGCTAATAGTGCGACGACTTTCTATTTTCTTCTGTAAGTTACACTTTTGAGTGTCGCACGAACGTGTATAATACGGGGATATAAATAATGATGATAAAACGTTCGTGTGGACAACGAAAACCGAAATGCACCTCGGAGTCAGTAACAAAAGCCGATGGTTGCTAGGCACAGCCATTGCTACAGATAGTCGTAGATGTAACTTTAATTTGTAATATCGTTATTGTAAGAATATAGGACCGCGCTATGGATTAGGGCGACGATCCCTTACCTGTCACTGTATTATCTTTAACTGTTTCCATCTTCCCTCCCGTCGCGCATCCCTTCGAAGGTATTGATGTGACCGCGCCCGGGCAACGCTTGACAAATTTAGATTATCTTGCATTAAAAATTGTATTTACTATTATTAACTGTATGATTAACTACTACGCGCTGTACGCAGAGGAAGAAACAAACTTTATTTACCAAATACCAGTTTTTTAATAAAAATCTTTTTGTGAAAGAAAATATTGAACGCTTTTGCTACCTCGCCATGTATCGAAATTATTGCATTACTATTATTTATATTTATTTTTTACGTAAAATGCGTAAAATTCAATACGCAACTAACTAGAGTGTAAAATTATCTAATAATTAACAAATAATACACGCAATATTTTCTGTTATAATATGCTCGTTAAGTATATACAAGATCGATATTCGATTTTTACTTTAGAAAATGCTTCAAATTTTATAAAGAATTTACGAGTTCTTGATATGTTTTTTATGTGTTGGAAAATTATTAAATTCTTAAATATTTTGATTAATATTTATGTTCTGATTAATATTTACTTCGACGTATCTCCGAGGATATTTTTTCCATTATCTCCATTACCCTTGTTACCATCTTCTATTATCATTTTACGAATTGATTAGTTCCTTTTCACTATACGATCGGTCGACGGTCACGACGAGGATGTAACGTACGTTATTGTACGATATGATCATACGAAGTTTACTTGACGAATCTTTGGCCACGTCACAAAATTCGTCAAAAACTATAATTCATCGACGACGTAGTCAATTTTGCAAATTACATGCACGTACCTAACAATAATGAATCATCTGTTGCACTTTCGGTGTATCCGAGCAAAAAAACGACGAAATATGCAAAGATACTCCAAACTCCGACTATTCCGAGCCTACTGTCGACTACGACTCCCCGAAATCTTGTTATCAAGCACATAATGGTGATAGCATTCAATATTTTATATATTACAATGATTGTTCGACACTTCACAAATACTTCCGATCACTATTCGCGTTCACGAAACTCTTTCTGAGCAATAACGGTTACGAGAAATACCAGACAAGTCCGTACACATCCCGAAATATTCCGTAACTGATATGACATGTTCGAGAATCACAATATTGAAATTCAAAGTTTCGAGAATCGTAACTATCGAAATGGCCGCGACGCGGCCGTTTCTTCTTTTATATATTTGTGTATACCTGTCTCTGTTTTGTAATTTATGACTACGTTTACACGGTCACCCTTGATAATCGAGTTTAATAACATCCGTAGTTAGAAACTAACCAATCACAGTCACTCTATTCATCAGAGGGAATAGCTATGATTGATCAGTTTGATCGTAAAACAAATGGAAGAGACATAAACACATACACATATTCGTGTTGACATACCGTTAAGTAGTTGTCATGCAAATTTATTGATAATATATATTATATAACATAAGAAGATAGCGTAATGAGATCGCAAATGATCGTTCATTCGATTATATGATCGTACTATGAAGTCGTCTTCATAATACGCTATTTCGTAACGTTTTGATTTGACAACTCAACACAAATGTGATTACAATAACAGGCTTGCTTTGACCATGTGCTGCGAGAATTTCCACGCCGCAGTATGAAAAATCGTTTATACGATTACATCTGCATTTTCGTCGTGCTCGAGATATTACAATTGTCAATTGGTTACGCGAAAATTATCAGTGATACTCGCAGGTATTGACAGTAATTTTCTTAAACTCTATCACCAATTCGTATAATTTGTTAATGAGATTTTTTACACTTTCCACTTGTTATTATCTGTTATGTATTGTTTTCTGTATACGTAAAATATTCCCATACAGCATAAATCATTCCAGCAAAATTGCAACGTTCCAGCAATATTGTAGCAACATTGGAAATGTTGCAGCAATGTTGTTGTAAGTTTCTGTGCTGTAGGAGTTTTTTTTTTAATATTTCATATTGCTTAGAAGATTACATGGTTCTAGAACAAAACCAGAGATATCTGTTGCTAAAACGTCACAATTAAAAGAAGACACCAACTATGCAAAAGAAATAAATTTGCAACACGAAGAGAAAAGTGATAATGAACTTGAAGAGGATGGTACGTATCACGACGATACAAGTAAGCAACGTAAAATTTTGAAGAAAGCTGCAAATTTCATGAGCTCCAACGACTTACATCCATCAAACGCTGAAGAATCTTTCAATCGTGACAATGTACCCAGCTACCTTAACTCGCAACGCTCAAATGAGGATTTAGAAAAAACGGAAGAAGCGGATGAAGAAGCGACAAAACGAAAACGCGATAAAAATGAAAAAGTGAGCAATCTCATCCGCTTATCTCGAAACATAAATGATGACTTCAACAGATATACCGATCAGGATGAGAGATCGAGTTTGTACGACGATTACGAGGCAAAAGACATCGCAAAGCGTGGTGTTTTAAGCGGCTCAGAGGATTACGAGGAAATGGAAGACGACTTGTTAGGAATAGAAGATATGGCTGCAGTGCAAGAATTGACAAATGAAGCCGAAAAGAGAGAAACACAGAAGGATGCTCGGGTGAAAAGAGATCAAGCGGAAATTTCAGAAATGCTTGATAAATCCAGATCAAATCTAGACAATCCAAGAAAGTTAGAAGAATCAAAAATCACAGAAAAAAATCCTTACTTGCGCGAAGTTTCTCGTACCGAATTATCGAAAAATTTTAACGAAGCGTCTGCACCCAACACGATCAATAATTTCGAATTTAAGGACGTGATATCAAAGTTAAGCGATTCTTCCAAAATCCAAGGACCAGCAAACACAGTTGCTCTGCTCAAGAAAGACGAATCAAACGCAGAATACGAGAAACGCGTGGAAGAGGAAATTCAACGGAAGATTGATTTGATTAAGGAGGAAATTGAACGAGATATTGAAGCGCAGCAACGAATAAGAGACATCGAAAACAATAATGCTAGATTCGACGAATTGCAGGATCAAGAGCATGAGGATGAGGAAAGACAGAACTTCGAGAATGAATCAATCAAAAAGCGGCAAACTATAGCCAAGAGATCTGTACAAGAGATTGCTGATGATGCTATCACTTCTTCTGAGAAAAGTGAGAAGAAACGATCTTTGAAAAAAGAACAGAATAAAAAACGGCAACATCAATCTAATAAGATCGGTATATCGGATATTTCAAAACAGAATGGAAATCTGAAAAGACAAGTCTTGACTGATAAGCCTTCTGAGCAAGTTCCTTCGAAAGAGCTTTTCACGAAGAAACGCAAACGTGTTAGACAAATTTTTTTGGTGAATAACGATCAGCTTCAGACAAAGAGAAGACAACTGAGAAGCTACTTGTTGCCATCTGCTCAAGCAGTCGTCAGATTCAAAGATGAATTATTTATGAATCCCAAACTGAATTCGTGTTTCCATATGGACAATAGAATGGTGAGACTTAACAGAAAGCAAACTAAAACCATTCATTATTGAGCGATATATTATTAAAAATTGATTGATATTATGTATAAAACAAATTGCTATTAAATAAAATTATACAGCTACTACTTAAAATATAAATATTAATATAATATAGATAAAAATAAGAAAGTAATAAAATTATTGCAGCTCGAAAAATCTTCACCAGTTGGCAGCGAAGATGAAATTAACGAGGAAGAACAGAGCCCTACAGCAGAACAGTCAGATTCTTTGGTACCTCTTATTGGAAGTTCACAGGAATTAAGTCCACGTTTAGAAAAAGAGTACAAAGAGGCCTTTGGTGGATTGCAGAGTGAGCCTGGCAATGCTCTAGCCAGATTCAAGAGGGTCAAACGTGTGCTAACAAACGGTCCTAATACAATTTAAAATTTTTATTAAGGTGTACAATGACATAGATTAATCTTTTTAATAATCTTCAGGAAGAAAATATTTCTATCATACAAATGAAATTATAAAAAAGTATAATATTTGTTTAATTATGATTAATAGCAAAAGGCTAAATAAATAGGAATATGTAGGGATAGATGTATGTGTAAAGAGAAATATATCATTGATATATTTAAAAAACAGAATAATATATTTGTAATTAGAGAAATGGTTATAGCTATAATAAAATGTAATACCATTAATTACAAAACATTTCGAGATTGTCGATCGATTTAATCATAGCTTAAATAAATTCTTGACATAAATGCATTACTATGCTATTTAATATTAATTTATGAATTTCTGTGCCAATTATATAATCTTATAAAGATATTTGTTCCTTTTCAGCTAAAAATGATTAAAAATATTGGTAATACTTATAAAATAAGAGAAATGTACATGTCAATCAAAAATTTCAATAATTGCCGTTAAATTTTTCTTTTCCTTTATACTTGCAAAACTATATTGTACAGATAATGCAGACAATTCTTTGAGCTGTTGTTTTCCAATATTAAAAACAGAACTTAATATTTCCAATTCTTTTGACAAGCACGTATTAAAAACCCCTTTATCGTCAGTCTAAAAAAAAGTTATATTTTTATTTTTTTATTTTAAACAATATGTACATGTTATTTTTTATACTTACTCCAATAGTTATGGGATGTCCAGCTTTGTACAGATATTTAAATTGATGATACATATAAGATGACACTGTTTTACATTTAATGTTTGATGTCAAGCATAATTCTAGATTAAAAGAAAAAAATAAATATATTTACACATTCATCAAAATATCTTTGAAAAGGAGAATTATCTCTCTCTTACCAACAGGAATTTTTGATTCCAATAATGTATCAAATAATTGCTGAGAACCTTGCAAACTGGGATGAATGCAAGTACAATGTCCCAAACGATCAGGTTTAAATTTTAATATACCATTTGTTTCCATTTCATTTGGTACCTACATATGTACTTTATATGTACTGTATCTATTATATGTAGAGACAATTAATTTTATTTGGAAGATAATTCACCTCTGCACAATGAGTTGTAATTCTAAGACCTACTTTCCTAGACGTTTTTAATAATTCTAAAAACGAATCGCCCACTGTTGGATCACCACTGAGATCAATACCCACAACATGTTCTGGATGTTTTTCCATAAACTGTATAGCAAGATTTATGTTTTCTTCTGCAGATTCGTAACCTTGTTTTCGATTAATTGATACTAGTAGTTTTACAAGAATTTGTGGAAATTCAGATTTCGACGCTCTGTACATATCAGATATAATAATCTCGATTACTTCAAGGAAAAATAAAAATGTGCCATATATATACACTTAAATCAAAATCTGCTATATAAGCTAATATATAGACATTATTGAGTAGTTACTTACTCGATAGCTTTTATTATAGCTTGAAGATACTCTGTTTTTGTCATTACATCCTTTACAGCACGAGGTGTGCTCCTTAATTCTAAATAAATCACATTATCTTCATGAAATTCTTTTATTACATCACAAGTAGCAACAAATACAGCCTGTGGTGTAATCGTTAGTGCGTGAGCTATGTCAAACATTTTAAAACATCTAGAAAATAATAATATATAGCACATTTTGTATTGAACAATATAGTACCTCAAATCTCAATGTTTTATAGAAAAATAAAAAGCCTATGTACTCGCTTAAAGATGAGAAATTGGTGGTATTCAGATCCATAAAAGTTTCATCACAAGTAGTGTCTGAGCGTTGCATTTTACATAATTTTTGCAATGTATTTACACTTAATGAACCGTTTAAATGTGCATGAAGTTCCTAATAAATAATTAGAAAGAATTAATTATTTAGTATATTAAAATATATAAGATTATGAATATATAAAATAAAAGTACTCATTTATTACAATAAGCGTCATTCTTAGGTTCGACTTAAAACCGACATACTTACCACTTTGGGCAATTTTCGGCAAAACTCCGATATATCCATTTTATCATTCAATATATCTCTTAACTTTATAAAATGATCATTAATGTTTCATAAAATAAATATTCACGTTGTAAATACAATCAAAGCCTAGTGTTAATGTAACACGTTAATGAATTGTTTTGATAGATCTAGAGAATGTTTATCCGTTAATGACACCACTATGTACATACACAAAGTATATCCATAGAACTATTAAAGCCACGGATATTTCCAGCGGATAATACATCTACAATTTTCGACTTTATTCCGTGTTACCTACATTGTTTGGTTCTATTCCGCGCTATTGGTGCGTTCGGGGAGACGCTATTAGGCGTCGTCTACAATACACGGAGTAAGAAGTAAGAGTAAGAAATTGACCAATCACAGTCGATTATTCTTCTCACATTCGACTGTAATTGGTCAATTTCTTAGGGTGAAATCACACGGTGCGTCATAGGGCTGCGGAATACGGAATGCGTCATTGAAGCAACCAATCAGCGCTATTCCGCACTTAGATGATCCGGAATAATCCGGAATAGAGAATACGTTATGTTTTAAACCGCGGTGATAAATCGTAGGTCCGTTTTCTGTGACTGAATATTTTTACTAAGTGCTTAATAGCTTCAATTATCATTATTATTTTATTATTCATGATGATAAAAAATTACTCACTGTATGATAGCTTAATTGCATCCAATTTGCGCAAGTATACTCAAGATCAAGATATCAAGAACAATGACGCATGACGCATTACGTGCGATTTCGGCGTGCCCTGTTCACACGCTGCGGAAAAATGATAGTAAATTCTTTACAGCTGATTAAAACATTGTTTTGAGATTATAAATATTAATTGTAAAATATTAAATACCACAACAGTAATAATTGTTTTTACAATTTGAGAAATTATATTTTATTTTAATAAGCAAATTATTAACATAAAGTTAGAAATTTCTAAATTTATTCATCCTGGATGCATCTTTGACGCATCATGTGAACATAGCACACAAAACTTGCGTGTTAGAAAAGTGCGGAATAGCGCTGATTGGTTGCTTCAATGACGCATTCCATATTCCTCAGCCCTATGACGCACCGTTTCACACGCTGCGGAAAAATGATAGTAAATTCTTTACAGCTGATTAAAACATTGTTTTGAGATTGTAAATATTAATTGTAAAATATTAAATACTACAACAGTAATAATTATTTTTACAATTTGAGAAATTATATTTTATTTTAATAAGCAAATTATTAACATAAAGTTAGAAATTTCTAAATTTATTCATCCTGGATGCATCTTTGACGCATCATGTGAACATAGCACACAAAACTTGCGTGTTAGAAAAGTGCGGAATAGCACTGATTGGTTGCTTCAATGACGCATTCCGTATTCCGCAGCTCTATGACGCACCGTGTGATTTCACCCTTAGCACTGAAAATCTTGGCGTATTCTTTTGAACTTGCACTATTCAGTGCAACCCATGGAACTCGTCCAGTGTTGGTGTGAACTGAGTGCGCAC